TGAACTTCCTGCAGTTTAAACACTTAAAGAAAAACTTTAGGCATTTTAAAACAAAAATAATTTATACTCAACTTTATTAGAAACTTGCTAATTTAGTGCATCCTTGTCCTTCAGAAAGCGCATCACTTCTAAAGTAAGTAAGTGTGAGAAACCTCATCCCAGAGGTAAATATCAGGGATCTCTTCCTCCACCACAAAACACAAACACCATTATCTCACGTCTTGAAAAATTTAAATCCGTATGCCAATGCTCGTAGTTACAGGAAGACGTCAACACGAGGCTGACCAAGATATGAACTCTTTCAAAGAGCACTTGGGGCAGAGTTTTAAAAAGTCTACACAGAGCACAGGGGTAACCAGGACATACAGCGCTGACTCAGTTAACTCCCTTACAAGCACAGGGAAGCTAAGGTTATCACGAGAAGGCTCCGGGGCTTTCTCCTGGTAACATCCATTAACGGGCTTCACCACCATACAAGCTCACAGACTTAATTCTTTCTATTCACAATGTGCTTTGTGTTTGCAAATTATAACATCAGTTTTATTCTGGAGTGAGAAGATGGTTACTTGCTTGCAGTAAATAAAAAAAACAACCAAGGAAATCTTTTAGAAAGACTGCTATGGTGCTCTGTGGGATTCATTCTGTGTGTGCAAAGTATCAAAAAAAGATTAAATTTTTCAAAACGCTAGAAACAACTACTTGTTTAACCTAAAAGTGCAAGTTCATTTTCTGACACTTAGTACAGCAGCCCAATAAAAAAAAATAATCTTGAAGGTCACATACTAATTCGTAAATATATCTACTTCCTTGCACTTTACACACTAGCTGCCGTTATCAGTCATTTGGACACTTCAGATATGTACTTGCAGACCACTTTATTAAAAATATTGCAGCAGCACATTTCTGCTTAACTGTTTAGAAAAAACTCACTATACAGAGCTTGCACTCACACAGCCACAGAGAGGCTTAATAAAAAGTTGATTTTTTTAAAGACAAATATTTTACATCTTGGAAAAAAAAATATCACACTAAGCTTCACCTCCAATTAAGCACCAACCTAAATGTAAGGTTTAAACAACTATCCAGAAATATCCAGAAAAAATAGAAAGTTTTTTCAAGAGGGGGAAAAAGTATTTCACAGAAAAATAACTTGCAGGCATTGTTATATGCCTAGGTATCACTGCAAGCTCCTAACCAGCAACTCATTCTCAGGTGTCTTAGTGGGAACATGGGTTTAATTTGTGGGAAGCAGACCTCTTTTCAAATCCCTCCCAGGTGCTAGTTTCACTGAGGAGATTTTGGAGGGGTACTCTGTTCTTTATTTAAGCGTTTGCCAACGGCTGGAGGGGACGATCTGCGGCCTGACTGTCTCCTCTGGTCTTTGGGTTGTCCAGGATGTGACTTTGCAGGAGGAGGTTCTCTGTTTTTCTCTATTGTTTCTGTGGGCTTTCTTTCCTCTTTCCCACATGCTACAGTGTTTGGCTTCTGTTCTTTCTGAGGTTGCAATGTAGGAGGATCCTTAGTTGTTCTCTGGCAAATTTCTGCATAACTAGGTTTTCGCAGTTCCTGTGGAATCGAAAGCAAACAGGACAGCAGAGTTAAACAAAGCATTCTCAGGAAAAATCACTTTCATGAACAAAAAGGGTAAATTCTTTGACCCAAAAGACTGCTGCATTAAAATATGCAGGTAAGGGCTTCAGTATGAAGTTTACAAAAGCTGAACAGACAATAAGGTTCAAGATAAGGTAAAATGCAAAACAGCGTGTCAGAAAAATGGGGTACTGTGATAAGGCAAAATACGCCCGATTCAAGGAAACTCTAAACCAGCTGAAAGACAATGAATACACTGGTTTAAATGTCTACATATGCATTAATGCTTCTACCTAAAGGCTACCTAGGTATCCCTTTGCTCACCAAGAAGAGAATTCAGATAAAGAGCTATCATTCCCCAAGTTATCTTGAACACTTTTGCACTGTTAATTGCATAATTGTAGCACGCAAGTAATCATGAAACCACCAACACACCAATTTAAGGATGCTGAGCTCACATGATCAAGCAACACAGGGTATCAATGGAAGCAATATTGTGTTAAATACATCAAACTGGATCATTAAGAGAAAGTGAAGTAATAAGGCTCCTTACTGTGGCAGCCCCATTGACTTGTACCGATTTACACGCAGTACTGAGTGTGGAAGAAGAAAGCCTTTCTGTACTCGGTGTCTCTCTCTGCTGTTTATCTGCAACCTTGGAGTCCCTGCAATCATGAAGCAGGAAAGAAGGCTCATGAAAAGGGAAACCTATTCAGGATAGATGAATGATCTGATAATGGGTTGGAAACTTTGAGGATGACTGTAAAAAATTACAGCTAACATTTGCCTAGCACATTATGACTAGCATTGTATTTAAAAATCCTATCAAATATTAAAAACCCTGATATTCCCGTGGAACTTGACACTACCTGCAATTCGTGACATTCTGATAGCATTTGGTTATCCAGTTATCTCACTCCTGTTATTCAAACACCTCAATTTCATTTGCAGGTTCCAAATAAAGTATTACTGAAAGCTTTATTGTATGGACAATGGTACTGCCCACGGGATCATGGGCATTACTCTCTATGCTTCAAAGCTACCTAAATACAAGACAGTAAGGTATTCATTAAACTTTTAAATACTTGCAGAGACTAAAATACAACACAAAACTTTTGTCTGCTGAATTACTATAATGACTGAATCACTATTATGATATTGCTCAGAAATTAAACTTTATTGCCTTTACTACAAGTTCAATACACAACAAAATACTATTTCTTTCATTAAGATTTTAATAGCTATTTACAGTGTTCCACCTAACCTTTTGATGAAAGAAAATGCAAACGTGATTCAGGGCAGAATAATTAAAGCCATGTAATTAAGTGCTTACTCAGACGACTGGGATGGCGAAGGAGACCTTTCAAATGTCCTGGGCAATGTAGAAGAAGCTGGCAACAACGGCTCTCGAGGAATTCCTGATGGAATAGTGTTTGTACTTGCATCCACATTAATGTTCTGAAGGAGGAAAAAAGGCACAGAAGAGCAATCATATGGCTTCCCTGGAAATTAACACAATCAGGAAACAGTTTACAAGTTCATTTATAAGGGTAAATTAACGACAGGAAGATACAGAAGGATCCAATATATGTATTGTAACAAGTAAGCTTTTTTCTTTTACAATTGTTTAGAAACATAGACAAGTAAATCACATACCGTGGTTCTTTCCCAAAAAGTTGGAAGCTCAGTTCCCTTTGGGATGTATCTGGGTGACAAAAATCACTTCTTTCAACCTGGGAATTTTGCACCCACCGGTGACAAAGTAGGCTTTGTGCCAGTTTTAAGAAAAAAGTCTCCTAGAGTTATGCACTGAGAACTGTCTGATTCAAAGCTCTAATTCTGTATCATCCCAATAGCTGTTGCTAAAACATCTAACCTTAAAAAAAGAAAAGCAACCCAATGTTTTTGCAAATGAGGCTATGACCATCATTTAAAAGTCCCTTCCTTACGCTACAGTGTGACTTGCTACCAAGCAAAAGTGGCTTCTTTCCATAGCCCTCTAAAGATACTGTGCTTCCAGATAAAGGCCAAACTGGTTCAAGATGCATGCATGAATTTAAATTGTCACAAAATAAGAAAAGAGAAAGACGACTTTGTATCTTGAAAGATATATTTCTGACATGTACAACCATTTTGGTTTTTTTAGAAGTGCTGTGTTCTTCATAGTGCTTCTGACCTGACTGTAGAACCAGAGCAAATTCTGCTAAGCAGAAGGAGAGCAATGGGAGAAAAGAAGCACAGAAGGAACAAGACAGCCACCACTTTTCCCCCACCCAGCCACCATTCAAAGGTCACAGAACATGAAACTCCTGTGGCCACAGGTAGAAAGGAAAATGGTATTTGACGACACTGTTTTCAATCAGGCAGCAGACTACCACAGTGGATCTAAGCCTAGTTTTACTCAAAAGTAAAGCCATCAAAGGTGGATGTTTAGAAATAAAAGAACAGCTTCTATAGCTTTCCTCACTATATTACTGTGTGCAAAGACTTGAAATTGCAATTTGCTGAGCATTCTGGCCCAAGTTGATCAAAACTTGTAGGTACATGGTTAAGCACGAATAGCTTCAAACCAAGCAGATGTGCAAGTGCTGTTCTTAGGCCAAAACACTCAGCCCCTGATCTGACAGAGCTGCAGTTTCCTAGTTAGAAGATGTGGGATGATTAACACCTACCATTCCCCAGAACTATATCTAGAAGAGCACCACAAAGCAAAGAGCATAAAGATACGCTGCTTGGATAACAACTGTTGGAAAAATTACACAACCTAAGTTCACTCAGCTTTGGTACACCGGACTCGCCCATCTATAAAACAAGAGTAGCACTGTGTAACTCTGCATCAGGTGACACAAAAAATGTTGAGATCAAGGTGAAAAGCAGCCTGTATACATTAGCAAGATTCTAACGTGAACTCAAACATCTTTGCAGTAGAACACAACCGCTCTCTGGAGCCAGCTGCTGTTTTCTTATTCCTTATTAATACCAACAAGGAAAGACAGCACAATTCCTTTCTTCCACACCACCATACAGACTAACTCAGGCAAGCTAGAAAAAGAAATCAGGAAATCAAAGGAAACTTTTGAATGTGACAGAACACTGCACTACCATAAACCTCACTGCCTGACTGATATTAGGACTGCCTCTGCAGGGGAGAAGTGCAAGTTCTTTACAGTAATTACAGTGCAGAGCAAGTACTAAATTTGGAATGGGAGGACCCATTGGTTTTCAGCTATGTATCAATAGCAAGTGCTGGGATTATATTTAAAACCTAAAGTACAACAGCCAAAAAGCACTTCAGAAACAGAGGTAAAATACTTTAAAAACAGACAGATCTTGGCCAAGAACAGGCTACAGTCTGAAGTATTGGCTGACAGCAAGTTAAACACTGCTCTTAACATGGCACTGCCCCCCGCACATTCCCCCTAAATGCTACTCTGGAATGTACTTGTCCTATTACCTGCAGTTGTCCCTGTTGCCACTTGCAGGATGCAGAATAGATGGCTTGTCTGTGCCATCACCGCTTCAGGTGCCCTGCCATTCCCTCTTTCCTCTACCAACAAACACTCTCCTGACCCACCCCTGATACATAAGCACCAAAGAAAACACTTTTGCAACAGATTGGTTTTAGAGATGAGGCATAAAAGAGATTTTGGTGTTTCACTAGGTTGCTCTGCACTGCTATATTCAGCCTTTAGCTTCTTCAGTTCCCATACAGCTAGAAAAACACAAGTTAACATTAGAGCCAGCAAATAAGCCAATACAGACTCCTGCAGTCTAGACTGTTCCTCAGTGCACTGGGTTATACGAGTTTTGATGGAGGAGAACATACTGCCACTCACAGATCGCATGGTAGAGACAGTTCTAAGAATGAAATCTATGAACAGCTACTGAACATTAATTTTCAACTGCATCTCTACTACATCTAGAAAGCAGAGGTTGCCAAATAATTCTGGTGTATTTTTTTCTTTCCAAGCCATCTGACAAGACAACGTTGGGATCCAGCTGGTTGTGGTAACAGTTCTTGTTCCAGGTATGATGCTGAGTGTACTGAGATTATGTAGGCAGCTTCTTTATATTTCAGTGCTTAAAAAAATTATCTTTGTCACTTTAAAGTGTTTTATATACAACTCAGAAGTCTATCTTTCAAACAGACTTTTTCACCTGAGTGTATGAGAAAGCCCGAAGCAATTATTAACAGCAAAGAGCGCATTTTCTAATCACTGCTATCTATTCATACTGATGCTCATATTCCACACCATTTCAAAGAGAATACCCAACAAATTCTAAGATGCAAGTGAAGAAGGCAGCAGCACGACATTTGACAGCTATTTTTTTTTAAATTATTTCTTACTACCCATGTAAATCCACAAGTTTTTTCCTAGGTATAAGCCACTGAATCTGAAAACAAGATGTATGCAATTCCTTGTTTTCCCAACAACAATGAATACTGGCTACTCACTCTTTCTTTTGACGTTCCTATTACCACACTGGACAGTCTGTTTTCAAAAAGGTCTTCGGTCTTTAAATTGCCAGCAGCCCCAGGTAATGGAGGAAAGCTAGATAAACCCAACTCAAAGCTAGGAGATGGAGGTTTTGGGGGTGGTGGAGACTGTGTTTGGCCTCTCTGGAATAGAAATAACATGTTGAAGTTACTGCACTGGATGACAGAAAAGACAGACATGGGACTCGAAACTGTATTGTGCGTTGGATTTCTAATCTGTGAAGCCCTAGAAAGACCTCCCCCAGCCCACCTCCCAAGAAAACCACAGTACCAAGGAAGAGCTGCTTTCATTTTCCACTGTTGCCCTTAAAATATTTATTATTTAAATAGGATGGCATAGGCATCCATAAAAAAATTCATCTGCATAAGCTTCAGTGATACTGGCATAGTAAGAAAAGTCTTCTCGCTGACTCTTCCTTTGGGATGCATATTTAAACTGACATAGAAAGGAGAATCAACTGGTTTGGATATCATGATATAACGAAAAATTTCCGTTTATGTGCAGTTGGTAACAGGAGTCAACAAGAATCTTTTACCATGTTCAGATATATTAAGAAATGGCAAGACAGCATGCCTTGTACGTGTTGTAGACAACTGCAATTTTCATCTAATTAGTATGAATTTATATGGTCATTTTGCAAAAATGCAGAGATGTCAAAATGTCAAAACTACTTTTGAAACAGGGAGATTTTTTTCTTAATTAATCCAAGAAGAAAAACAATGTCCCAAGCAGAGACACATCAATGGCCTAATGCAGCTATTTTACACTACAGGCAGCAGTTCAGGACTTAAGAGTGCCTCAGTTAAAGTGCCCCTACTTGTGAGTATTTGTAAAGCTAAGTTCTATTTACACAAAAAAAATAATTCCTTTTATAATATGCTGTGACTGAAGTTACTCATTAACTTCATCTACATCACGTAAACAAAGAAGTAACTGTTTTGTGACTGTGCTCAGGCCTGCACTAAGATGATCTCTGCTGCAGAACACCAAATGCAAAACAGTCTTTGAGACGATTCCTTTTCTGAAAAGGGAAATATTTATGGGTAAATAGCCAAGATGGGCTGAATGTGAGAACAATGCTTCTGGACAGAAACGTACTGCATCACTTACTGGGTTTTTTTTTCCCCTTTCTTCTGATGAAGAGCAATAGACAAAACTCTACCCCTCAAGGTCTCTTCACAAACTAGAGTTTATATCAAAACAAGTGTGTGTTGAGAGGGAAGCGGGGAAAGAAGAAATACAGAGGCAAGATCAACTGCAAGTCCTGCAACTGCTACTGACCCAGCATTACCCCCAGAACACAGTTTTGGAGTGCTACAGCAACGGGAGCTGCAAACCTCCAAAACCAGAAGTCGGATGATCTGTCAAAGGGTCACAGAGGAAGACTACACTTATCCAGCTCAAACAGCAAGAAGAACAACTTTTCTTTTTTCCAGTTCTTCAAATCACAGCACTCAGTTTTCTTAACTGGGACTGAAGTCCTGCAATAGATAATGCTTCTATATTTGTTACAAGTGTTTTAAATTATACAGATGAATCCTAAAAAACCTCAATATATTAAGAGAAAAGTAGCAGCAAAGTCTTAAATTAGCGAGACCAGGGAGTACCTAAATGGATTTTAAGCTGCCAACTGCATAAAACTTCTTAAGTCAACTTGCTGTGACAAGTTGAGTAATTGGCTTATGTGTATAGCCTCAGATACTATCTGATCAAAAAAATGTTCATCTCTCTCATGCAAGCACACATACTCTGATTTTTTAAAAAAAAAAAAAAATTCAAAGTAGTCATCACTCCATTCAAATGCAACTGGCTGTAGTGAAGTCCTATGTACAGTTTCTAATTTCTACAGGATAATGCAAGAAACAGGATCCTAAATTCAATTATTGCCCCATTCTGAAGGGGTTAAATTTAACTGTCACTGCAGTATGCTCCTTCCCAGTGCGCACAGCTGTGGGTGTGCAGCAGCTCTCCCCTCTGTTCAAGCTGCATCACTGGACAGTACAGACTAAAGATTCGTGGACCAGAAGAGTCTAGAAGGAGCCTGACTGCACAGGCTGCCATTAAAGCCTGGTGCTGAGAGAAGGGAACCATGGGTCTCCAGAGAAGTCATGTCTACCAGTTTGACATTCAAAGTTAAAGTAACCTTTAATGTCAGCTGATTCAGAAGAGCCTCTCTGGCTCAGTAAGTGCCTAAGGTAATCCCTTCACTCCAACCACTCACTTGTATGCCTAATCTGTACCACTGCCTTGGTATTTCAAAGACAGATAAGAAAACATCAATCTAAACAGTCAAGCAGCTTTAAACAGCAATAGAAAGAAGTATCCTATCTGATCTCACTGAGCTTTAAGAAGTTTGACAAGAACTAAAAGCAACCAAAAGGAAGGAGCCACTTGCTGTTTTATACTTCCCAAACCTTGATGCTCCAAGCCTCATAAGCCTACTCAACAGCAGGAGCCACAAATACACAAATGCAACAATTCCAGACCTTTGAGAAAGTGTCATGGCTTGTGCAGAGGGGATACTTCACAATTGTAACATGAATAAGGAAATAATCTGGTTCAACTTCATGAACATGCCATGTGCAGCAAAAATTAATTGCACCAAAGGTCTGGTTTCATCAAGTTAAACCTGAAGTCCTATAAAAAGTTTACATTTTCTTTCTTCTACAAAATTTCTAGTCCAGCCTTTTCAAGTAGTAAGGCTATTTAGGTATTCACCTTGAATTTAAGTTTACCAAAACAGTAGTATTTTAATAATGTTAGTATAGCTTTAACAGGTAGTACTTGGAGAGACATTTAAGGAACAAAACTTCCCTCAACTAACATGCTAGCTATACATTATGACACATGGATCTATGAAGTGTTATTCATTGTCTACATGAATGATAACCAGCATCAAGCTGTTTAGTCCTCCCTGAACGAGAGCATTGACATGCTGACAAAGTAACACTAAGATGGAAATTTCCTTTATAGTATAAATGAGTAATTTTAACTTTTTCCTGACTTCTGCATTAATGCACAACTTTCTCCAATACCCAAATACAGTAAACTCAGGTGAATCTAATGAGTTGCCATCTTCAGTCAACTGTGACACACAATTGCTTGTGCAATAACTTATCTCACCTGCTACTTCACATAATACCCATACCATTGCCTTGTTACCCTACTTTTCTTATAGATAAAGACAATCATGAACACTCACTGTAAACTTGTCCTCCCTTTTCTTTCGGTAGCCATATGAGTTTTTCCTAAGGGAAAGAAAGCAGTTATCAGAACTTTGCCTATAAATTAATGGAAGGCACTTGGTGAAAACAGGGGAAATTAATTAAAAATTGCTATTTCATCCATCTTCATTCTAGACAGGTTACTAAAAAAAAACGTTTCAGGGAAAACATTCTTAGCAACCTGTCATTAAAATAAAGGTATGGATCTTATACAGCATAAGAATACATTGGTTACAAATAATTCCCTCATTAAAAGCATCTCTCGGTGCCGATTACATATACAGCTTAGACAAAACACTTCAATGTGCAAACTGAAGGTTGTTTTTTTTTTGATACTTATGTGATTTCCGAAATATGGTTACCTATTTGCAACTCAGGTAACACCCCTCCAAAACATTTTCAGTACTTCTCTCCCAGCCCTGCTTCATGTGTTGTCCCTCCAAGAGCATTTAAAATTTGCAGTGCCTTCCAACTCTGGTTTAATAGATTTTCTAAGTTTTCAGTTTGACTTATAATATTATAGTCTTATTCAATAGTGAAACATCAGAATACAAATTTAAGTACTGACTATTCCTGTATATTTTGGAGCCTATAGTTTCAGCAATCTCATTGCCCATGTCCTTAATCATAATTTCATCCACTAGTTATAACACAATTTGGCAAATTAGATTTAGAAAAGTGTTACAATCCTTGCACAAAATCCCCAATTAGACTTGTATTGTGTCATCGCACAACTAATATAGGATCATCTGCAAAGGATTCAAGTTATCTTCCAATTCAGTAAGTCACTCAAAATGTGATTTACTTGGAGAGACACACAAACACAGCCACCATTAAACAAAGCTGCACAGTACTTTCATAAAGTACTTATTAGAACTGTATTTAGAATTTTCCAAAATAAGCCTGCTAAATTCTCACGTTAATATTGGTGCCACCAATGTTCAGGTCCTCAGGCGGTTGGGTTGGTTTGTTTCTTTTTTAAACTGCCTAAAAATAGTTTCCTTAGTTGCATTTAATCCCTTTTCCTCCCTCCATACCAATCCATCATCTTTGTTGTTGCAATGTCTTATTTGGGCAAAATTTCTGATCTTTCAACTGAAAAAATTAACAATGAGCACTGCTAGTACAGGTTCAAGCGCACAACCTGTATCACTGAACAACAGAATAGGCAGACCTGCTTCACTAAAGTCAAACAAATAATACATAAACCCACTTTTTTACAAAAAATAAGCAAAGGACAGATGATTAGATCTTACAGCTGTAAACCATTCTCCAGTTGCCATTAATGATTTTCTTTTGGTAGGAAAGTATGCAAGTCCACTTTGCATTTTTTCTATATTTAGCACTTTCTCTGAAGTACCTTTCAAGATTTCAGCTTTGAGGACAGACAGTCTCAGTCTCAAGTAGTAATGAGGAAAGTACCTCTTTACTAAAGAAGCCATTTAAAAGCAGCAATACCAGGTTGTTTAGAGGACAACTATAAAGTACACTCACCTTCCTCTGCCTAATCCAGGCGAGGAGTCAACGCTGCTCTGTTCCATCCGTCCAGTTCCTACTTCCCTCTTGGTGTAACTCGTAGCATTCTGCATCCGTGTCCTGTTTTGTCCCGGCTGCCGCGTCTGTGGACTCCTGACGCCATTGATTAAACGATCAGCAGAAAAGTTGAATATTGAAGGACTGTCTAGAAGCCCAGGTCCCCTTTCTGCACTGGGTATTGTATGTCGTATATGAGACTTGCTAGGATTCCTACAAATTCAAAAGTCATTTCAACATACGTACTATGAGAGGTCTTCTGAGACCTAAGACTATACACAGAATTCAGAAGCAGCAAGATCTTTAGTCCTGTATTGCATATTTCATTTATAAGGATGATAAATATTCATTTTAACAGGTCATGTGAATTATCAAAATTAACCTTTTCTCTGTGTTTTCAACTATGGCTTCACTAAAAGCTACTTGAAACTACTATGTGAATAATCCTGCTGATCACATGCCATTATTCAGAATATTTCATCCAAATACCCTAAATCATGGAGCAGACAAGTTCTCATCTTTCAGACAGTCCATTTACATTTAAAAATCCACTAACAATAGCAGAACCATCTGCCCTTTGGCCTCACTTAAACTTGCATATCAGGTTCAATTTCAGAAGTATTTTCAAGTTAGCTGGTGTTACTAAAAATAAGCAGATTAAAACCCCTCATGCCAGATGATAAAACAGTATGTATATTGTTAAAAGATGGTTGAACTTGCCTGTTCCTGGGAGGATATTGTCTGAGTGTTGTCAGAGGAGAAGCAGCAGGCTTGAAGGTTGGAGATGTGAACCCATTGATAAATCCAGTATTTGGGAATGGTGTTACCTAAACAATATATCACAAGCTTATAAGCAAACGGAGTACTGCTTTTTTCTTAACCACATATTTTATGTCATTCTCTGCAGGACACCACTTAAAAGGACTGAAAAACATCAAGCCAAAATTCTTGGCTGTAAGTTAAGTAATGCTCCTCCTCTTTCACTGTGCATGACTTCAGAATACCGAGACACTTCTTCGTCAAAGAGTCTCTAACCTACACTGCCTGTAATTGTTTTTCTTGTAATTTATATTTGTATCCTACCCTAAAAATAAAAATATTTTTAGTTCCTCATTCTACTTATCTTCCACGTGACACCTAAATAAAGCCTAGAGAACAAGTGGATGTTAGTGCAACTCTGATTCTTACCACCTTATTCTACATGTGAATTCCTGTCTTGTTGCCTGAAGAAGCAACATTTGCAAAAGATTTTTTGGGGTAGGTGCGTGTCAATGTCTTGTATTAACAAGATGCCTCAGAATCTGAAGCACATTCATAGTAATTCTCCATCCTAACTAGCAGACTTTTTTTTTTTAACATATGAATGAGTTTCATTTAGGAAATGTTACTATTAGCAACAGCAAATGCTTGTAAGCAGTAAGACTTCTATGTAGCACTCTACACTTAAATGAGAAACAGCTGGGACTAAGACTGTTTCCTATAAAGGTATCTTTAAGCCTGTTTAACCTTTCTTGCTAAAGTTAAAGCAAATCACTAATCAATGAAAAATAAAATTTAACACCAAAGCTGTCATGCCAAACTACTGTTAGCCTAACCTAGCACACACGACAGCAAATGCGACCTAAGACTCCAAAAATAAGCCATAAGGAGTTTAATAAAGCTATTTTAGGAACAAGGTTTCATCAAAATACTGCTTTGAAGTGCTTCCTGCTTTAATAGGTACAACTTGAATCCTGTAAAATTCAAAGCTAGTAAGCAACTCCTGAACCTGAATAACGAAGAGACATTTAATATACTGAAGGAAAACAAGTTTGACTCATTGCTTAGAGGGACACTAGCAATATTCACTGCTGCTGATCTTTTTTTTTGAGGGGGGGGGCGAGGGGGGAAATGACATTCTAATTTTCCAAAAATTCCAATTTTTCAATAATACCAAGAGCACCAATTTGTGTCTGCACAGAAGCCACCTGGCTCAAACGTACACCTTTTTTTTTGTTCCTTGTGCTTCCCATTCTTCTCACTAGGAATTTCTACTCAAATATAACTCTTCCTACAAACTGTTCAAGAAACATCATACTACATTAATGTACACAAAATTCAGCCAACCCGTGACAATACACTGCAAAAGAGTGGGAAGCAAAGCTCTGCCAGTTAATCTTCTGTTTTTACTAAGAAAGGTATGAGATCTTTAAAGCTGGCAGACTTGTAATGTCTTCCCCCAGAGGCCAAGACTAGTAAACTTCCTGGAATACACAAAGTTGCAGGATGACATGAAGCAGATACATGCTTTGCTGCACTTGAACCTGTCACCAATTAATCTACATCTTCTACAGCAGTGTTACCCAACTACTTCACTATCTCACAGCAAGACTGTGCAACAGTCACTTTTAGTTTATTTAGAGGAAGAATCACATTCATTGCTGCTTAATAAGGTGGCTTTCTCCTAGAATAACATACTACCTTGTCTCCTCTGCATTCTTCATCACCCCTAAAAAGCCTTCCCTGTGTGTGAAGTGTTTAGCACACCAACTTTTTAATTAGCTTGCTGTTCAGTACACAGGAAGTTTGCTTGAGTTTGTTCAAGGCCACTTTAAACTTCTGCCAAAAAAACCTAAAAAGCTTCTAATTTTGAGGATTTAGCCACAAGAAAAGAGGCATTTACAGAGGGGATAAATAGTTTCCACATAGGGTAACTTTAGTCTCCCAGTCATTACAGAAACACTACATTCCTATCAGTTTTTGTAGGAAAACAGAGGCCAACTAAAAAGGGCCAAGGTAATTCTGATGGGACTCTCATAATGGAGAAGATGGAAGCAGCATTTCAGGAAGCAGCGGATGGCCCATTAAAGTATATAAGGACATACTGTTACCAGCCTAGCTCTAAGGCTTACTGATAGGCCCTTTAAGAAAATTTTTTTAAAAAATATTAGAAGTTAATTATCTTTTTATTAGTAGAAGTAATTTTATTTTTTTATTGCTAAAAAACATGTTACTGCTTCTCAAGAAAAACCAGCATCTTAAACTCCCCTCTTCAGGATACGTATGCTTCCTACACCTCAAGGCTTCATAAGAGAATAATACCAACTTTAAAGAGAATGCAACTGTTTCATAACCAAGAGACTTACCAAGGAAGGGTCAAGGTAGCTGTGCGTGGCTGACCAGGCCTGTGGGCCAATTAGGCTGTACAATGGAAACTGCTGATGGGGACTGTATACTGGAGGTAAGTAAAAGGATGTTGTGTAACGCTGCTGCGTGTAGAGGTTCATATCCAGAGGTCTATATCCATTCTTTGGCAAAAATGTGTTTATAGCTATTGCCTTTGCTTTTATCCTTGCCTGCAAGAGAGATTAGATTATTTGTTAGAGCAGCCTTTCAAATTAAATTAGGATGGTTCAAACTAGCAGCTCTCAAACTTGTACTGGACACCACTTGTCATCAGTGCTTCCTTCAAGGAAGGCAGGAACAGCTGAACTCTTCCCTGCTGGCCTGATGCTGGGATGGATATACCACTGCCAGAAAGGAGGAAAAAGAGAAGTAACATGGCACGTGCTACATTTCAAACTCCATCTCCAGGTCAAATGGCTGTTGAGACTGGACCACATAAATAAGTTTGTATCAGAAAACACAGTGAGGCACACAAAAAGCAGAACATACACACAGACCTCCCAAAAACCCCATAAAGCTCTATTTACCTTAATTGGTTTTCCTTGGAAAGTTTTCACTTCTTCTCTAAGGTATCTGTAAGCCTTTAAAAAAGAAATGATAAAATTTGTCAAATATCATTTAAACAACGGAAACTTAAGTTTTGACAGACTAAGTCTAACAATAATTCTTCAAGTGTCTGCTAATATTAGACTATAGAAAACCCTCATATGTAAACTGCATTCAGGAAGATGTAAGTTACCATTGTGGAAGTACTTCAGAAGCATTAAACCAAGATTTTAGTTCTTACGATTGAAGCACTTCAAAGTGTCATCCAAAATATCAATGTTCTTAGTATAAAAAAATTATAGCTTTGGCCTGGAAGCCAAGATATACGAACAAGATAAAACTCTTACAAGGTTATGCTTAATAGTTCTGATAACTGGGTATTAGCTAAGGGAAAGCATTATCGTTTTTAGGGGGTTTTTTGGGTTCCCCCCCCCCCCTTTTTTTCTTTTTAAACTGTTACACATTCATAATACAGTTTATAACCTGTCAATCCACCCTCATCCCACCCTTGTTTACTGTTACATTCTAAAATGGTTCCAAAAAATAGCGTTACCTGCTGTGCATCGGCTTCTGATTCAAACGTGATGAACCAATTGTCATTATAGGCAAACTCACAGTTGATAAACTTAGGCAAATTATCTCCTTTGAAAAGTGCTTCAACCTCCTAAGGAGTGGTTTTGATAAGAAGGGAGAAAAAAGGGTGGGAGAAGAAAAATTAATGGACAGAAAAAACATCCATTTAAAGTGCAGAACTCTGGAATTTCAGGTAAGAGAAAAAAAAGCACTTTTGGGCTCACAGAACAGAACAGAGAAGTTCAGAACACCTGCAGTAGTGTTGGCTCTCTCCAGTCTACTCTCTGTAGAAGACTACTCTCTGTATTTCTCTGTAGTACTACATAGAAGAAATACAAGCAAGCATCGTCTAAGGCCATACTCAAGCAGAAGTTGCCTGCTCCCTTCAAATCATGAGAGACAAGCTATTTAGGCCATAAAGAGACACTTCAATTTGACATCAAGTGCACAAAACTATTTATTTCTCCCCTGCCCCCAGAACCAGAGAGCCACACAAAAAACTGCATACTGCATGGGACAGGAGAACCCCACCCTTCCAGCACAAACCTGGAGATATACTTTAACTCAAGTGTCTACAGATAAATATATTTGAAACAGGTTTTATGTTACCTCAAAAATACCATTCTACAGAAAAACCTCACACCTTGGACTTTGTATTTGTTTTGATCAATTTGTGTAATTATTTTTGTCACAGAGTCAAGGCAAACAGCATGAAAGAGCAACTTGCAGGCCTTACAGTATTTTGGAACTGTGGTGCTTTAATAAAGCCTGACCATGCTGCACCAGAAAAAGTATCCTATCAGATCTGTTGGGTTAAGTCTAGATTTTTCAGTTTGGCAAATCTAAACATATCTATAAACCACTTTAGGACACCTCTTTCGAGAGCTTTGTTGTTGTAACATGCTCTAGAGCGACCAACCTGACAAACTGATGACAGGAGAAAAAACAAAACAACAAAAAAACCCCTTTAATATTTTAATATTAAAAGCTAGGCAGTCTCTGAAAGGTTAAATCTCATTTAGAAAACTAAAAGTAACCGATATTTTTAAGTTCTGTATCTAGCATATCTACCTTCTTCCCTCCAATTCCTTTTAGCATTTTGTTTCATGTTCCTGTTTATTAAGGCCACTTTATTCTAAGTTTTCAATCTGCAGTACTTTTTATTTTTGAATGAAGACTATAAAGACCAATTACTCTTCCAGAATCTTTATTCTTCCCTGTAAAATTAAATAGAGGGGAAATTAAAATATCTCCCTATCATCAAGAATCTGTGTCTTCTCCTTTTTTGAAAATTCAAGATGGTTTAATCTATGGTCCAAAAACTTTTGCTAGTCTTTCCATTAGTCATAGTCCCAGATCATGAGAGTTGCATTGAATTATCTCTCAAAGAAACAAGTTCCCCACTGTCACACTCATTCTATAAGCCAGCAGAGATCCTTAGCAACTTGCTGACACCTCTAGCCTCAGCATTATGGAAATGCTTGAAAAGCTTTAAGTACTTTACCCTAACATGCTTCAAGGTGTAGCACTGGCATTTTCCATTCTAAGACTCACCTTCCTTCTTCACCTTTGCTATTTATCCAAGGAGCAGAGCACCAAGTTCATATGAATAAGCCAAAGCCCAAAAAAATTATGTTCTCTATACCAAACGCTGTCAGATTTCCAGCCCTCTGTAGAGCTATAGTTCCACCACAGTCTTCCTATGAGCAGCATACTTCTATCAAATATATGTATTATCCAAACACACACAATAAACTAAGGTTTAGAAAAATTGTTATAAACTAAATGTAGTAAGAAATGTGATATGCTCATTGAAATCTGGAAGAAATCATACTTGCAAATTCTAAGAGTTAGGGTTAGCGTTCTTTACCAAACAATTAAACACTTACTTCAATGGGGGTAGTTTCAGGTACTTCACGTAAAATCACAATACAGCGATTCTGATTTGGCCTAACTTTTTCTCCCTTCTCATCCACCTGGACTAAAGGCAATGCTAAGAGAGAAAGGACAAAAACGTATTTTAGCTGTCAGCAATCTTAACAGCTTTGCACACCAAGAGATGCTGTGGACACAGTTTTACAACACAAAGCTTTTTTGTGCTAAACTTCAAGTATTTTTGAACATTAAGAAACAAGCAGAAAGTGACTGTCGAAACTTTCAGACATACGAAAGTGAGTAGACATGTCCCTTAACATATCCACACTCTTCCAGCCTAGACAATCCCCATTCATTAGCTTTCTCTTCTAATGCACACATCGAGACATTTTCTTTTTTAGTGGCAGTGTCTAGTAGCCTTTTCTGAGAATTTATACTCACCTTACTTTCATTTACACTGATAATTGCTCAATACCTCAAATGTGAAGTAGGTTTGGTAAAGCTTCTGTCCTCTAATTGAGATAGTCTAAACTGGGAGCCACTTGCTCTATTCAGTGCTTTACAGAAAAAGGATGGCATTTTATTGTGATACATAAAAAAAGGAAAATAAATTGAAAATACAGCATAATGGTCCTACAGCAATAACCAAAATGCTTTCTAGCATTGAGAGATCTTCACTTACATCTCAGCACTTCAACAATCAAATCCATATCAGTACTGAGTTTCTTGACATGATCAAGGTTTGCTACTGTCATTATTGGCACATACTGGTCACTGTCCATCTGTGATATAAGGTACATGTCACTGGCAAGATTTTCTCTGTTGGGAGAGGAAAAAAAAATAGGGAAATGTCACGGATGTAACTTTTGCCAATAAACTTGAGACGAAAACTCATCACATAGTAGAAGGCAGGTTCCTATACTAAATTTTGTTTTCAGCATTTTCATCAGCTCCCCAGTCCATTCACCTACAATATTTCACTTGGCAGAAAACATGACATTGTCTTTACCTTCATGTGACTGTACTGGCATCTTCTGCTCAGGCAGCACGTTACCCTCACAAACATGTAACTTTGTTAAGAGTTTATTACTTAAATGACCACTGACTAACTAGTTATGCAGAAATATACAGATTAGGATGATCTAGGTTATTAAGATGTGTTTACGATGTTTTTATCTAGACACAAGCATTGAGAATAATTAAGTACAAGTAAACTGTCTTGATGATCTTGCATCAGTCTATACTGGAATGCGTATGTTTCAAAGCCCCCTTTTGTTTTTTAAAATTGATCCCTAACATTAAATATAAATGAATCTACAGGTGCACATACAAAAACCCTAGATTGTATCAATTCCAATTTTAAAATTGTTACCTCAAAGCTTACCAAATGGCTTAAGCTACTCAGTTTTAATTTGTAAAACACCAGTAACAGTAAAAAATCCACCTGATCTGTAATTACTTATAACTACTCTCACTTCAAAACTATATATTTGCTAGTTTATGTTTTAGGCCCAGAAATTTCATGTAAGCTTTAAGAGGTACATCCATACAATGCTCTGAAATTTGTGTGTTACTTCCCCAAATTCTCATCCTTTCCACTCAGTTTTAAGTGACAAGTGTGAAACATATTAACATACACCTCAAGTTAGGTACTGTATCTTGTTCGTTATCCTCCAGTTTGCTACTTTCAGGTATATACATACCTAGATAAGCAGAATTCCAGTGTTTTTTTCAGTAATTCTCGTAAATCTTCCTGACCTTCTGGCTGCAAATGTTCATTTCCACCTAATAATTAAAATACTTAAGGTTAAAATTCAGTTCTGCTGCATCACACAATAGATATTTCAATCACAGAATATTAGGAGTTGGAAGG